AAAATAAGAAATATAAGAAGAGCTTCCTTGACAGGGACAGGGCAAGAATTATGTGTGTGATTTTAGACACAGCAAGTTCATATTACCATGGGCAAATCAAAGTCTACCCCGAGATTCCTTAAAAGTGCTTGAAGACTGTTAAGCTTGGAAGAAACACTATAAGTTCTGCATTTTTTGAGAAGTATCACTTTCAAAAGTATCACTTTTTTATAGATATCTATACCTCTAAAACAAGAACCCAGAAGATTCTGGCAAAGGAACTTCAACAGACCAATCTTTTGAGACTTCTAGTTTTGAATAGTGGGTTCAATCTTAAGAGTGGGCAAGAAAAGAGGGATAGGCTGGGAAGCAGAGAGACTAGAGTACAGGCTCTTGAGGATTATCAACATCTGTATCATGGACAAGGGAGAGGAGCTAGCAAAAGAGAAGCAGAAGATCAGGAAATGTTATATCACAAAAGTCAAGGGAACAGAGAGTTTAAAGCATAAGAATGGCCAGTCAGGTCAGATACCTCTATGGGACAAAGATTATGGCATGAGTGTCCCTTGAAATTAGCAATAAGAAGTCTTGAATGGATTAATAAAGGCCAAAGTCAACTGCAATAGGTCAAGCATAACCATGCAATAAGGGAAGAGAGTTGATACAGACTGAAAAAGAAGTGTGGCTAACAAAACTAACAGCAGAAAGAGACAACCAAAATGAAGAAATCAAGGAGCTAACTGTCTCAATAAAGCCAAGAGAGGGGATATTGAGAGTATGCGGGTGAAGTAGCTGGGAGAATTGGAAATCATGGTCAGACAGTAGGATGTTGACATTTTAAAAGGTGAAGCCAGTACAGGTGTCAGAATGATGCTAGGACTGTGGGTTAGATGGAATTGAGATAAATATTCATAGAGCTGATGGAATCAAGAAAGAGTGAGGCAGGGCAGTACTTTGGAGAACACTGAATAACTATAGTAAAGGCTGGAGTTTGAGTGAGGAGAGAGATAAAAGGCAGTGTCAAAAGCCTTGGGTAAATGTAGACAGTTAAGAGTGTTGGTAAATAGAAGACTAGAAGACAACATAGCCAGATCTTGTCAACTTCAAAAAAGGAAAGGATTGTACTGAGCCTTTCCTTAAATGAAGTGCTGTAATGCAATCTAGTGAGCCCTAAGTAGTTCCATGTGACTGTAAACATATCTGAGCCACAGGAATTCTTATTACTGTAAAGGGATCGCCAGACTTACATCACTCCCATTGAACTTCACAAAGAACCCCAGAACCACTCGATAGAAAAATTGTTCTCTCTTTCATTATAAAAGAGCTCATTTGGACGTGCTGTAAAAAGGGCACAGAACCAGCAGTGAAGAGAGCTGAAATCTGATGCTTCCCCTACCCCTGACTGTGTGACCTTGGCAGTGTCACTTCCCATCCCGGACATCAACTTCCTCCTCTGTCTATATATATTCATTGATTGATGCATGTAATTCCCAGTATCTGTCGAAGCCTAATATGTGGTAAGCACAGTCCTAGATGTCGGGGAGATAGCAGCAAGCAAGACACACCCAAAACCAAGGGGCCCACCATCTGAGTATTCTAATTCCCTCTGGCAAGTGTGTGTGTTCTAAGTGAAAGCACTGCAATTTCACTGTGGTGGTCTAAGACCTGTGGGTCTTTCAGGATACAGTCAGAAATGGATATGGAACGAGATGGCGGCTCCAGCTTGAGATCCCTGGACACTGAGGGAGTCCATAAAATTTCTAATAATAAACTTGCAAAAAACTGTTTGCATCGCTTTAAGAGAGCCAAGTGGAAATTATGCTCAACACGTTTACATCACATCAGTAAAACATAAGTGTTTCTGCCTCATGGTCACACATTCTAATGTACACATGTGCATGTCTCTGCCTGCAAAATGGGAAAAAGAATTATTATTGTGCAATAAATATAATTTAATGCACAAAGTTCCCAAGCAAATCAAAACCAAAGGGAAATTAAAAAAAATTTTTTTTATGCTCCTGAGTAGAGAAAACTTTGAGAGTCCTCAGCAGAGTGGAGAACTCTGGCATTCAGCTTGAAGACACGTTTGCTGCTTTGTACGTGAAGCCTTGGCTATATTTCTCTGAGCCTCATCTGCAAAGCCAAACCAGAAGCCTACCTTTTATGGAGTTGAGAGGGTTTAGTGAGAAACGTTCTAGTTTCATATTTTTTAAGTAACATAATTAAAATAATAACAACAACAGAACTGGTGTGTGGTGGAAAGAATCTGAGATGTGGAGTCAGACATACCAAGTTCAAATTCGAGTTTCTTACCAACTGGAGATGGGTGATGCTGGACAGATGATGTAATCTCAGTACTTTTCAGTTTTCTCAACCGTAAAATGGATTATTTTGAGGATTAAGTAAAATTATATATATATATGAAAATGCATATATATATATATATATAAGCTTGACATGTTATAGAAGTTTGATAAACATTTATCTTTTCTTTGAAACCCATTACATATTAAATAAAAAATATTATTCTTTTCACATCTCTAGTCTAGCATGTTTCATTTCTCCTAGATATACACCGAAGTTTAAACCTCACTTAAAAACCTACCAGAAGGGTACCTAGTGGCACAGTCAGTTAAGTGTCCACTTCTTGGTTTCAGCTCAAGTCATGATCTCACAGTCTGTGAGACTAAGCCTCACGACAGACTCTGCACTGATGGTGTGTAGCCTGCTTGGGATTTCTCTCTCTCTCTCTCTCTCTGCCCCTTCCCTGCTTTCTCTCTCTCTCTCAAAATAAATAAATAAACATTTAAAAAATAAGATAGAATAAAAAATTAAAATATGGCAGATACATGATAGATGTTAGGGCAAAGAAGAGTTAAATACAAAAAAAGGAAATGTATATCACATTTTATATATTAATAATATATAATATAGAATTAATATGTTGTTTTTATATTTTACTGTTCCCATTCATTTGCTACGTCACATATAGTCCACACCGTGGGAATAAAACAAATAGAACTTCTACAGAGCAATTCACCATTCAACCAGCCAGGTAAGACATTTCCTCCTCCCCTCTTCCCTGCCTCTGAGTGGGGGCAGTCAGTCACCAAGGACAGAGGAGGTTTTCAATCTCTGTTCACAACGAATTATCAAGTATCATAAGTCTAACACATTAGCATTAGGTCTAATTAGCATAAAACATCCTCTAATCTTGCTGGCTCCCAAGTCCTTCCAGTAGGTACCCTGGCAGGGTCCAGAGAGTCCACAGAGGAGCCCTCATCATTGCTCCATCATATTTGACAGATTCCTACTGTATCTGGATGTGGCCCTCTTGTCATTAGCTAAGACTCACAGGAAGCGTCCTTGGCATAGATTTCATCACTGCCGTAGTGGCAGTGTTGCTGCACACATTCCTATCGCTGCTGCCCTTGGCAATTCGGCACGGTCTGCAGGTGAACAGCAAGTTCAGGAACAATGAAATTAGCCCCCTTAGACACCTAAACCTCTCCGCATAACAAGGAGAGGGAGGCAAGAAAGTCCATGGAGGGTAGACAACTTTCACTCTAAGTAGGACCATTAGTAGAAATGTAAGGTGGTGCTGGAAAAAACTAGCTGTCTGATAACCCCCCACCCCACCTTCTGTTTTATCAGTCTGTGTATAGGCTAATGTTTGAAAATTGCCTATTTGTAATTAATAAATATTGACAAAGGCCCCTTAAGTCCTGGGTCAGCAAATATTTTCCCCCAAACTTAATGAAATATTGTTTCCCAAGCTGGTCATTTGAAATCTCCATCCTGGCCACACATTGAAGGACCCAGCAAGCTTTAAAAAAACAAAACAAAAAAACCCCCAAAAAAACGATGCAGGGTCCCATCCCAGATCAATGAAATTAGAATCAGGTCGGGGGTGGGTAGGCATCAATGGCTTTTCACAGGTCCCGGTCATTCTGTTCCACTGTACAACCAGTGTTTTAAGAGTGGCTGTGGTGGGGCGCCTGGGTGGCTTAGTCTGTTAAGCGTCCGACTTTCGCTTAGCTCATGATCTCGCAGTTCGTGGGTTCGAGCCCCGTGTCGGGCTCTGCGCTGACTGCCAGCTCAGAGCCTGGAGCTTGTTTCAGTCTGTAACTCCCTCTCCCTCTGACCCTCCCCTGCTCACGCTGTCTCTCTCTCTCTCTCCTAGAAATAAATAAAACATTACAAAAAAAACTTAAAAAAAAAAAAAAGAGAGTGGCTGTGGTATCCACATTCCCTGGCGTTTAAAAAACACCTTACCCTTTGCACAAGTCCCAGAGAAAGTGAAAGAACGAAGGAAAAGGTGTCCTTTATGATGGATTGGAGCAAATTGTTCCAGCTCAGAATCTCTCTTGCTGACAGGTGTGTTTCTGGGATAAGGAGACCGTGTCCTCCTGCAGAATAGTGTAAAGCCCTACGGAGTTTTCCTAGATTCTTCTCAATGTCCCCTAAGCCTGACAGAAAGCCCTCTTTGCCACTGCATTTACGCTCCACTGCACCCATGTGGCAATAACCCCCACAGCTCGTTCTCAGATTGCCTCATCTGTGTCTGGGCCTCCTTTTCCAGTCAGGGTGGCTCTTTTACTAATTTTGAGTTGATGCCTCTATGAGAACCATCCGCAGACCTTTTTTCCCCAAATTACACACTCTCATCCCTTCCTCCCAGAGGCTCCCAAGAGGAGAAACACTGGAGTTTTGCTCTGTTCTTGTTCTTGTTTTCAACACTCTGCTCACGTTAGCCAATTTAGCACTCACCAGCTCGTTGGCCGAATATGCTTCTCAATATGAGAGAACAGTAGGCCACAAATTACGAAATGACTTTCCTTTGACTGGACTTTGGCTCCCAGGAAGCCCTGTGTGACAAAATCCTGACTGAAAACAAGCAGTAATTGTCCTGCAGTTTTCTGGACCTTTGCAAATAAATGCCTTCCAGGACCTGTCTGCCCATTCCACGCAGAGCTGTCTGTCGTCTGTCCATTCCACGCCGAGCTGTCTAGAGAGAGCAGATGTCTGCCAGCCAGGGACTTGCCTTTGCAATATGCGTCTTACAAATAGGTGTTCTGAGTGCTGGGCCCACTCTTAGGTGAGTCGCTTTTTCTGTTTGTCTCTGGAATTTCACTGCTTTGATATTTCGAGGCCTGCTTCTTAGCAGGAAAGCAGGTAAAATTTCAACCCACATTGAGGTAGATAGCCCCACAGTTTAAACTTTGAAATAGGGTGAAAAAATGGGGCAGGAGTGTGTGTCTTTGAGAGTTTTGTAAGGAAACCTGCTGCATTTTCCAGAAATTTCTTTCAAACAAGCCATTCCAATGTTAAAGCCGAGACAGTCTTTTTTTTTTTTTTAATGTTTTGTTTAATTTTTTTTTTAATTTATTTCTGAGAGAGAGAGGCAGTACGAGCAGGGGAGGGTCAGAGAGAGAGGGAGACACAGAATCTGAAACAGACTTCAGGCTCTGAGCTGTCAGCACAGAGCCCGACATGGGACTCGAACCTACAAACCGTGAGATCATGACCTGAGTCGAAGTTGGACTGCTTAACCGACTGAGCCACCCAGGTGCCCCCTCAGACAGTCTTTAAATGCTTGGAATTATGAAATAAAGCCGGTTTTCACCGGAGTATATTTGATAAATCTGACCTTATCAGTATCTAACATCTGAAAAGTTTAAAATAAAGAAAATTAATCTTGCCCTCATTCTGCCTCAGTGTCTAGCACTCTTAACTTTTGGATGCATCACCTTATTGCTTCCATGCCAGGCAAAGGTTAAACATTAGGCCTTTCCTCCTCGACATCCCAAGTTGTATCCAGAGGCACACATTTTGACCTTAGGACTGGGGTTAATTTCCTCCTTTCAAGAAGAATTACCCTGGTGCGGACCCATCAGCCATGTTTCCAGCCAACACTTACTTTCTCTCCTTTCGTTCTGATCCTATTTGGGAACTTGTAGCTCCTTCCAAGCCAAGCCAGGATGTGCTTACCCAACAACTACGCAGTACCCACAGTTGCTGGAGAACATGTAGACCTGGGCCATCTGACACACAATGATCTGATTTGGGGGCAGTATTGAAATATTTCAGGCTTTTTTCAGAGTCTGTGACTCCCTCTCTCTCTGACCCTCCCTGCTCATGCTGTCTCTCTCTCTCTCTCTCTCTCTCTCTCCTAGAAATAAATAAAACATTAAAAAAAAAAAAAGAAATATTTCAGGCTTTGACAGTTTAGCCCGGGGCACTGTCTGCCCCAACATCGCCTCCTCTGCCCAGATTTTAACTGCAACCTGCATCCATTTCCACTTTGGTCATTTGACTCTTGGTTTAACCAAATTCTGTTCTGGGATCTGACGTCTATCTCAAGCACATCTTTGACCCCTCCCAGCTCCAGTGGGGGCCACCCTGCCTCCTCAGCCCAACTTGGCCTGTGGTTTGCTCGCAGGACTACATCTTCCAGCAGAAGGGGACACAGAGGTGCTGCACAGACCTGCACGGGGTGGGCGAAGCGCCTCACCATGCTTTGTGCCATCACTTTCTCTTCCCAAGTTAGCTAAAAAGCATTATTGCATTCAGAAGGTATTTTCACTCACTGGGCATTGGGAACAAAAGGGATTTGGGAAGGCAGTCACTAAATGTGGCTTTAGCCTTCCACCCTGACCCTTTCTTAAGTTAAAAAATAATTTAAATAACCCACATTCCTGGATTGAGACTCCCGCTGACCAAAAATGAGAGGCTGTGAGGAAGGCTACATCCACTTTGAAGTTTGTGCCCTTGGGTCCTGGCCTCACTCAGCTATTTCGGGGGGGACCAGAAAGCCGCCCTGGCCTCCACCGGCGCGTGCCCCAGCTCCCAGCAGGTGCACCACTGAGCTGGATTTGGCTTCAAGCGCTCTCATCGCCAAACCCTCAAGAGTTTGTTACGGTTACCGCCGCTCGAACACTCTGTGCTCTGCCCTTTGACAGAGGGTTGAGGTCAATAAAGAGTGTTCAGATCAGTCATGAAGTGAGACACATAGTTCAGCCAGAGAACTGGAGTTTGCAAATGATTTATTTTTTTTAATGTTGATTTTATTTTTGAGAGAGACAGAGACAGAGCACAAGTGGGGGAGGGGCAGAAGGAGAGGGAGGCGCAGGATCCCAAACAGGCTCCAGACTCTGAGCTGTCAGCACAGAGCTCAACACCGGGCTCTGTCCCACCAGCCATGAGATCATGACCTGAGCCGAAGTTGGACACTTCACCAACTGAGCCACCTAGTGCCTTGCAAATGATTTTTTACACAAACTTGATTAGAATGGAGCACTCTGGAGAGAGGCTTCCCAAACTCAGGTCAAGGCACCATTACTAACAAACCATGAAAGTTTGGGCAGATTACTCAACCTTTCTGCATCTTGGTTTTCTCATCTGTAGGATGGTGGTTGTACTCATTTCCCAGCACCACAAAACCGGCGGCTTCAAACATCAGAAATCTATTGTTTCATAATCCTGAAGGCTGGAAGTTTGAAATCAAGGTGTTGGCAATGCTGTGTTCCCTCAGATTCTTAGTAGTGTTCTTCCCCATTTCTGGTGGTGCCTGGTGATCCCTGGCATCCCCTTGGCTCACAGCTACCTCCTTCCAGTCTCTGCCTCTGTCATCACAGGGCTAGCTCTACCTCACCCTTCCTCTGCACACCTCTGTCAGGTTCTAAATTTTCTCTTTTTACGAAGACATCAGTCATATTGGATTAGGACCCACCCTAACTTGATTTTTTTCTGTAAAGACCCTCTTTCCAGATAAGGTCACATTCTGAGGTACAAGGGTTAGAACTTCAACTCACTTTTGGGGGGGTGGGCCCCAATTTACCCCATAACAGTGACAATAATAGCACTTACCTGATAAGGGTTTTTGGGAAAGCTAAATCATACTCCATATATTGTTCTTACCACATCTGCGCCTGGCATGTGGTAAAAACTCAGTATATGGGAAATATTCTTGAAAATAATGACTTGCTATTACTTTGATATGCCTCCTGGTTAGGAAAGGGAGGGATAGAGTTCCAGCCAGCCTTCAGGGAATATCCTATGGCTGCAGATACTTCATCTGAAGCCACAGTGACAGTGAGTTATTGCTACTGGTGAACTGTTGGGAATATCAATAATTGTTTGTTTGCAAATGTAAGAGTGCCCATGAGAATAGGTCATGAGCAGGGCATCATCTCATGTTTCTCAAGGTAGAATAGAAATGTTAAAACCAATGCATGAGTAGAGTAATAGCTCCTGACACTGGTCTTGGAGCCAGAGGGCTCGAGTTTGATTCCAAGTTCCATAGTTTCTTAGCTATGTGACCCCAGTAAAGTCCTTAATTGCTCTAAATCTGCTCCTCACCTGCAAAATGGGAATACAAATGTGACTTGCTGTGCGACATTCCTGAGATAATAAATGCAATTTCCCCACCGCAGTGCTGGGGCAGATCTGAGTGCTCTATGAATGCAGCACCCATTAGTTTTTTCTTTTTCATTTGTAAATAACAACATGTTTACATGATTCAAAGATCAATAAAATTTATAAGATATACATCGAGATGTCTTGAGAGAGATTTGTGTTATTACATATAAAATACTTTGACTAGTGCCCCTCTCCCAGTCTACCCATTCCCATAGGTAACCATCTTTATTAGCTTTCCATGTAGCCTTCCAGAATTTATTAGTGTAGATTAAAGCATAGAGTCATATAGAATCTTATTCCTCCTCCTGCCTTTACACACTCTCTTATACTTTGCTTTTCCCTTTTTCCTTTATGATATATCCTAGAAACCTTTCTGTATCAATTTAGAAGGCACTTCCTAATTCTCCTCACAACTGTTTACTTTTCCATTGTGCGGCTGCACACTTCAGATAATCTATCTTTTATTGATTAACCCTTAGGTTGTTTCCAATTTCTTGTACTATTAACAGTGTCGCAATGAATATTTTTATTCCTATGTCATTTTGCAAGTGGATAGTGGTACCTGAGCATTAATTCCCAGAAGTGATGTAAGGAGTCAAAAGGAAATCACCTTTGTGAATTTGCTAAAATTGCCCTATGGCCCTGGAAGGTTTGTGTTACTTTGCACTTTCCCCAGCAGAGTATGAGTGTTATTTCCCCACAGCCTTGCCATTTTATTTTTATATTTGCCAGTCTCATAGGTGGAAAAGCAGTATCTTCAAATAGTTTAATTTCCCTCTCTCTTTTCTTCTTCTTATTTTTTTAATTGAAGCGTATTTGATATACAGTATCCTATTAGATTCAGGTGTATGTCATGATATTTCCATGTTTTTATACATTATGAAATGATTCCCACAATAAGATTGCACATCCTTTCATATGTTTAAAGGCCCTATGTATGTTTTTCTTTGTGACTGTCCATATCTTTTGCTCATTTTTCCATTAAGCCTCTTGTCTTTCTTTTAGGAATTTCTATGGCCACTTTATAAACTAGTCCTTTATCTCTGGTAAGAATTAAAGACATCTTCCCCAATTTGTCAGTCATCTTTTGTCTATATATTTGGTGTGTTTTCAGTGTAGTTATAATTTTCATATTTATCTTACTCTTCATTTTCGAATAATTAAGAAAGAGCACTAGACTGGGAGTTAGATATCCTGAGAGCAGCTAGGTAGGTGGCTGTTGGAGAGAAACTGCCCAAGTTTGAATCCTAACCCAGCTACCAAGTACCCTCTGCTGTGTAACCTGAGGAAAATTACTCACCATCTCTGTGGCTCAGTTCATTATCTTTAAAGTGTGATAATACTAGTAACACATCTTACAGGGCTGATGTAAAAATTAAGTGATATGATAAGAATAAAGACCTAGGAGAATTCTGACATAAACAAAGCACTCACAAATGTTAGCAATTATTATCCAATTTATTTGAATTAATTTATCTCAATGATCTGAACAAATACTCAAACATCTGCTAATGGGGAAGCTAGGCTTACCTATTACATTGAAGATATCCTAAATGTCAGTGTTTCCTCCTTCTTTGTTTTTAATGTTTTTAATATTCATATTCAATACAAGCTAACAGATATTTATTTATCAACTACTATCGGACAAGGACAGTCACTTGTTTATTCATCCGTGTA